GTCGTGTTTTAGTAAGAAAAGACGACCATGGGGGAAATCATCCCTGCGTTATTTCCTTGCTGGTTGGGGGTGGTTGCGTGTGCTCCTGTTGGAGATACAAACACCCAGCGCCCTGACTTGCAGGATACAGCTGCACCAGCGGAGAGGCAGCCAAGAACCGGTCATTCATACCGGCATTAGGAAGTGATACAGATGTTAAAGTCCACATAGCAGATCGTGAACTGTTCTGGAAAAACCCCAAGTCCAGTGATTTCAGTGATGCTGTGGGAGGTGAAGGTGAACCTGGAGCAACGCAAAACATGTAATTTGTTCCATTAAGGAGCAGTAAATTGCTGTGAGTTTGAGGAGAACAATATGAAGTGCAAGCGGATTTCACGAGCTACTGTGTAGCAGCAATAGAGAAAAGGGAAAGGAAATGAGTAAAATTATGGAGAGACTTTAGAGGCTTGTAGAGATCAGATACAGAGAACAGAAGTGCTCAGGTTGACCAGAACAGGCAACATCGAAGTGTGAACTGGATTGCAGCCACAGAAACCTTTGCAGCTGGCGAGAAGATGAACAAATATTGGGAGAAAAGCTTACCCACGTAGGAATAAGGAAGAGAAAATCAGCTGTGCTGAGTAAGGGTGCATTTTGCTTGCCTCTTTTCAGGCAAGCAGTCTCAGTTCAAGATGATAAGATGCACGTGGGCAGGAGGAAATAGAAGAATTTTAGAATAGGTGCTGAGTAAAAGCAAGAAAAGCAGTCCTTATGACAAATAAATAGGTATTGATATAGCAAGTCCTGGTACATTAAAAGAATTAGCTAGAACAGAAAGGATGGGAGCACTATGAGTTGTAGCAAGTCAGAAGGAAGTGTGAAGGCATTACAGGAGTGAAGAAATGTGAAGGTGTTACTTATCTTTAAAACAGGTAAGGCAACAAGTCTAGAAATTACAGCAAAAATAATAGTGTAACTGTTCATATTGGTTTGAATGTGAATTATTATTATATTCGGTTATGGTATTTAGAATTGCTTGAGGCATTCCGAACGAAGAATAATGATAAATGGCAACATATCAAGTTGGACAGAAGTGTGCAGGGTGACCTCAGGGTGCACTGCTAAGCACAGTTTAGTTTAACATCCTTATTAATGATTTTTAGGAGTGCAAAACCAGCTCATTAATTACATTTACAAATGATGCTGCATTAGGCAGCGTTGCAAACACCAGAAAAGGACAGAGATATATGATGACAACTGATTATAAAGCCTGCAAATATAACCTCGTCTAGCACCCACTGCAGCACCGGAGGGTAGTTTGTGCCTTCCTTTCGGTGGAAGATAGGTCAGAACCAAAGCTGACAGCTGCAGTGTAACTCTGCATGGAAAAAGACAAGGTGGCATATGGTGGCGAAAAATAACCCAGTTCACAAATAGTCAAAGAGAGAAGAGCACTGGAAAACCAGCATAATGAGGGAAAGGTCTTGGATAACAAGCCTGAAATTAGATATACTTATAGGAATGAATTGTCTTGTTTTACGTATTACGTATTGTTGAGTTGCCTATGGAGAAATGATGCATGCCAGAAAGGTTATAGTCCTTGTTCAAAACAGACTGGTGAGAGCAAGAATAAGGTTCTCAATAGCTCAGAATTAAATGGGGAGGGGAGGGGGGTATATGAATGTAGTGTTTTTTTTTTTTTTTAAACATACTGAGAAAGAGAAGCATATTATGATCTTGAAACATGGTGCAAGATGTAAGACGTTGCTTTGCAGAGGAAGAGAAGAATCTAAATGTGTGTATGACAAAATGACATTTAAATGGTGTTGTTGATGTTAATTTGAGTAGTATTAATATCCAAGAGTCCTCCTCAGATCAGAGCAGCTGTCTGCTAACTTTTGAAGGAGCATTAGGGTCTCCTCTGAAAAAGTTTCAATCTTGATGTATAAAAAAAACCCCATGATGGGTAAAAGCAGAAATGAGATGAGGGAATATAATGAAATACCAGC